AGAACATTTTCTTCCACTGAAATTTGTAATTCTATTTAGGGTTAATTATGCTTGCATTTCTTTATTCATAAAATAGCCCTTTATAGATATTCATTTTAACCTTTATAATGTAATTAGTCCTATTTAAATTATCTGAATTACCAAGTTAGCCACAAAAACTCTGATGTCTTCCCTGTATATGTACTCGTAATAATCATAGGGAGTCCTCAGATCTAGTCCCCTCTGTCATCAGTGAAAAATGTGGCATAGATCCAGGAATGCTCCTCAGGCCTAGGTGCTGGAACTTGTAGATAACATAAAAGTTGCAGATCAAGGTACCCATATCAGCTTCAAGCAGACATCAAGTTTCAAGAAAGGTTGGAACTGGGGGATGCTTCCACTCATTATCTGTGATCGTATGTGTCATTTCTGCCCATTTGACCCTGGCAGTTCTCTTGTATCTATATGTTGTTCTGGTTCTGAACAAGACTTTGTGGAGGCACCATTCTATGCTCCAACTCTCCCATCTACCTTTGTTTGAGGAGTCTCCTGCAAGGGTTTACAGGGCTGCCTTTGGTGATCAAATGAAGTCAGCGCAGCTTTGAACTCTTTATATTTTTGTGTCTGAGTTGTCTTCTGAAAAGTGTCTATCCTAGTCTATACTAGTACTCTCTTAACTCTTCAGAAAAGTTTTATCCTCATATTTAAGCCCATTATGTAGCTGCTGGATTAAGCACAAGATCACTTTTTGTATTTAAGTCAGTCCAGGATCTACCTCAAACCCTAATACCCTGCCCTGCCCCTTCTCCAAGGCCCTTCCCAACCCATTTGTGGAGGCCTTGCCCTCCTCACTCTGTGAAAATGGGATACAGGAGAGGGAGACAGAGTGACATCAGCGCCCTCTGCCCCCTGCCTCCATCTCCCTCATCCTGCACAACAAGCAGGAGGCTCCCAGGGGCAGCTCTGAGTCTCTGGGTAGGAGCAGCAGGGAAGTGTGGTGAGGGGCAGTTGAAATGCTGGCACTTGAGAGCCTCCCAGACAAACCCGTCAGGATCACCTGTCAGAGTCCAAGATCTACTGGTAGATCCTGATCTACTGGTTGGTGACCACTGCCTTATGTCCATTCTGAAATCCACCCACACCGCTAAGATATCCCTTAAGTAATCTATTCGCATGGCAAAAAAAGCAAAGTACACTGTCTTAACAGTTCAACAGTTAACTGTATGCACATGCACATAGAACCTCTCTGAGATTGATATAGATTATGCAACTAACTTATGCAATTGTTACCAATAGTTTCAGAGTGCGTAATAGCTGCTCTCTAAAAAGAAAGCAATGTGTCAACTATTGTAAGTGCAGTGACCAGTTACATTCTATCTCAAATCTGAGGCAGATATATTATAACTATATGTTTAAAAGGCACAAAGAAACCAATTCAATTTTAATTATTTTCCCATCAATAAAAAAGATACAAATATGTTTCAGTTGTCTCTAGCCGATCCTGTATCTTTGAAGTAGAGCTGGCAGTAAAATTGCTTTTGACCATCTAAGAGCTCAGCTAAATATATTTGGCTTAATGAAAAGGCTGATGATTTTTAATCTTTGCTCAAGCCTCGTTTTCATTGTCATGTGTGTGTCAGGTCTTGTGGGGAATGCAGTGTCAACTGTCCCTCTCCTCCAGTGGATAAATGGGAGAATTGCTCAATCATATTTGAAAGGCACAAACTTTTTTTTCATCATAATGGAAACAACCTGTCAATTGTAGAACCGGTGTTAATGTAGCTAATTGAGTTAGGCTGGATGTGTCCCATTCATAGTTTTTGATGAGTAAATGAGAATATCAAAGGAGGGAAAAATTGCCTTTGTAGTAGGTTAACCTATTAATAGCTTTATTCAAGCCCAAGTCGATAGTGATGAACTTGTGAGTCTTTGTCCTTTATACCACTGGCCAGTCATGAACATGTAAGACACTTCGAGGACTGCTCAGTTCCCAGTGAAAGGGAAAACTCTAAGCAATGATGTGGTATGAAGATGCAGGAGTTTATGTCTACTTAGAGGAGTAAGCAAGTTAAGACCTTTGAACACAACCAAACCAACCTGCCTGGGGCCTCCATGAACGTTTTGATTTGCCCCTTCTTTCTATCAGGTGTATGCTCATGGCATACAGAGTAGTTTCTGGAGTGGCACATAGAAGGAACAGCTTTCATGTGTTTACCCTCCTTGGCATAGATTCCATACCTTTGATGTGAAGACTTGTCTGAGAAACAGGAAGAGGGGCAGCTAGTCATTAGCAGCTAATAGACATAAGCACCTCTAGTAATGGCACAACTATCAGCTACCTACAGAGATACTATAGTGTGGCTGATGCATCTGGTTTTTGAGAATTTAGTGCTCATATTTCACAACCATGTTTTAACTAAAGCTGAGGTTTTCATGTAACTCGAGGAGCTAAAAGAAAAACAATAAATCTTACAAAATTCACAATATTATCAGGACAATTAACAATACTGTTGCCTCATATAATTATCTGGTCATTTTCCCTCTGACCTGATGGATTTCAAGTTTATCTCTAAGATGCATAAAATTTGAAGGCTTCTTGCAGCTTTTAAAAGTGTAATTACTTTTAAAAATATTTGTTTATTAGACATCTTCATCTTCATGTAAAATAATACCGATAAGTTAATTTTCAAAATAAGTGCTGATATTAAAGCTGCATTGCTAAGTGCAATGGAAAGGAAAGAATGTACTTGTGCTATTGAGCAATAATGTACTTAGGTTAACATTTATTCAAAACTAATAACATTTTATGGTGGTTCTTTATGTAGCTAATTCTTTATGACTAGCAGATAACTGGAACTGAAAACATATCTGTGCTGCACTGACATGGAGGATGAGTATCATTGTAACTCCTGGTTGTGGCTGCTGCAGTCATTAATTGAAAGGTTCCTCTTCTGCATTAATGTAGCTGTTTAATAAGGACAACACTACTGTGAACTAGGGACCTTTTTGTTCTTGTCTGCAGCAGCCACACAGGAATGTTATAAGTACTTTGGTGTGTACTGCCATTCACACCTCTGTAGTTCAAACTGTGAAGCAGTGTACACATGTATTCTTTTCTACCCAAACTCTCAGTTCTTTTCTTGATCTTGATGGCAGACTCCTAAAGTGAGGAGACAAGACTGGCACATTTCTACATAACCTGTACTATTAGTGCTATTATTTAGGGCAATGTTTGCAAATACACTTTCTGCTACTGGAAAAAAAAGTCCTTCACTTCAATCATGTGTACTACAGGTTGAAACTCTCTGGTCTAGCAACACTTGTGGTCCGGTAGGACCATGGATATTGTTGGACCAGAGAGCCCTAGGAGTCTGGGGCAGGGAGTGGAGCTGGGAACCCAATGGCTCAGCAACCACAGCACAGTGGCAGCCCCAGTGGCTCCTGCAGCCATGTAGCTGTAGCTCTGAAGCCCTGACAATCATGGGTCAGCAGAACCTTGGCAACTCTAGAGCCCATGGAGCCTCGGTGCAGTGATGGCCCAGGGGCGGCCGAGTCCTGGCTGCTGTGGAGTGGTGGTGGCCCTAGGGTGGAACCAGGAGCCCATGGTGGGGGCAGGAGAGCCCTGCCAGGTTTGCTAAGGACCACAGGAGAGCCGAAAGTCCATAAGTAGAGGGGCAGAATTGACCTCCTGTGGTTCAGCAAACTCCCTCATTCAGAACTGGTCAAGTCCCGGGAGTGCTGCATCAGGGATGTCCAACCTGTGCAATCGTCTAGTTAGAATCAATCTCAGAAATTTCATACTGCAGAATAATTGTTTTTTAATAGATAATTGACGCTTCCTTTGTCACATCATTTTGGGTCCCATTTACCAGTCTTTACTCAGGCTAAGATCACAATGATTTCAATGGGAGATTTGCTTTAGTAATAATTGCAGAACAGGGTTTAGACTGGTTAATTTATTAATGTCACTTACCCATAGCTCCTGTTTTGCTGCAGATTTTCTTCTCTGCAAGTCTGTGAAATAACAATATGTGGTTTTTATTCCATTATGACTTTTATTTATTAATGCATCTTTGAATTAAAAACCTTTCAGCTATATAAAGTCCTTACTATACAGTACTAAGCAGTATTTATGTGGCAATGAAAATAAATTAGAAGAAATATCAGATTTAGGCTTTAGTTGAAAAGGAATAAAAGCGTCAATGTCTGGGAAATGTTAGAGGGATACATTTTAAGGCAGATTATTTCTGTTCAGTCCTATAAAAGCACTGGTGGTTGTGTCTAAGTAAGAACTGCAAGAGCAGGACTATTCTTCAGGCTGGTTGTTGTAAGAGTATCATGTGACAGATACATTAATGTATGTTCCCTGAACAGTACATTTTAATTCATTGTCTTATTATATATCTTTATAGAGACATCATGAATAATAAAGTGTTTTACCAGCATCCTAATCTTATGAGGGCTCTAGGAATGCATGAGACTGTCATGGAGGTGATGGTAAATGTACTCGGAGGAGGAGAATCAAAGGTAAAGAACGTCATTGGTAGAAAAAAGGAATTTAGAATATGGCTTTGATCTTGCAAGATGCTGAGAAACTCAAGCTGAGAGCCCTAAATTTCCATTCATTTCCCATTGTTACAATATAGGGTCAAATTCTTAGTGTGCAGATTCACATTTTATAGTAGCAGTTGTATATCTTCTGATTACTATCCTAATAATATTACATTATAGGAATCCCATTTTTGCTTGTTAATTTAGGAGAGGATAGGTACATCTACACAGCAACATTATTTTGAAATAATTAGCGTTATTTTTAAATAACTTAGCCTGTGTCTACGCAGCAGGCAATTATTTGGAAATAATGTCGAAATACTGTCAAGGTTGGTACTCCAACTCCTGTAACCCTCATTGTATGGGAATATGGGAAGTCAGAGGAAGAGTGCTTTATTTTGAAATAAGGGCTGTCTAAATGCTCCGTATTTCAAAATAAGAAATACGCAATTGACGTAGCTTATTTCGAGTGAAGTCTTGCTGTGTAGATGCACCTGATGAGAGCAGTACTGTATCCTCACATGGGAAAGGAAGGACAGACAAAAGCATTTATAGCATACTCTATTTTATGCTATATATATATATATATATATATAAGTGTATATATATAAGTATATAAATATATATAAGTATATTTTGGGATTTCCAAAATTAAGAGTGTTTTAAACTAACACATTTTTCTGGAAACATCTGATTGGAGATGGCCTTTAGATCAGGCTCTGCATCTGAACTTTCCCATACTTCAGCATTTGAATCTAGGGATTTAGGTGTGAATCCAGTTTTCTTTCTTGTTAGGGCCACAATCTGCAACTAAACTTAATGGAGGATGCAGACACTCAGCATTCCCCATTGATTTCAATGGGGTCAGCCCTTGGAATCATTTGACGGGACTGGACCCTAATGTTGTTGTTAAAAAAATCTTGAAGATGCTTATGTAAAGGCTGGTGATTTTTATACATTTTGCAGCTCTAATTTAGTCTTGTCTGTCTAGGAAATCACCTTTCCTAAGATGGTGGCAAATTGCTGTCGTTTTCTATGTTACTTCTGCCGTATCAGCAGGCAGAATCAAAAGGCCATGTTTGATCATCTCAGTTATTTATTGGAAAACAGCAGTGTTGGGCTTGGTGAGTAATAAGATAAAATGTATCCTAAGTACTGTGTGTGTGCATGTAAATGTTTCCATTCATTTATGAGTTATAAATGGAGAAACAGTTCAAAAAACCGAAAAATTCCAAACCTCATGTTTAAAACAGTCCTTCACATGAAATTCTGCTTGGTAGCGTCATTATTAAAAAACAAACAAAAAAAACCACAACAACAACAAAACCCCAAACAAACTAGGAATTTCTATATTTCTATAGAAAAAATACCTTTAACAGTTATCCACTGACCCACCAACCCTACATTAACTCTAAATTATGAACATAGATTTCAACAAGTAAATTATGTAATGCCTTAGGGCAAAGCTACTCAGCTTTGGAAGCCCTGGGAGCCACAATGATACTCTCAGCTTATGCCGAAGGCTGCATCTTAACTGTGGTTGCCTATACATGCAAATATAGATGCAAATATATGCAAATAGCTTCTTTCATACTGACAGGCATGCATACAAAGATTAAGACAAGACTACACAACACATAGGACCCATTTAAGTCCATTCTGCTGATATTAATAAAATGCACTATTTACCTGATTTCCACCCATATGACAGCACTTTTAATGAGTAATGACAGTCCAGGAATTAAACTACTAAAACACATATCAATAGAAGAGCATTATGCTGACTATTTTTTTGTTTTGCCTCCCACCTGCGGGCTGTGAACAAAGCAGAAGATCTTTAATAGAAACATTTAGTTGTAAGAGTCACTGTTCAATGCTTGCTCCCCCCTATTCTGCTTCCACCTCTTTCCTCCCTACCCATGCTGAACTTGGGTTGTATAGGAAGGGGGCATAGTCAAGAGCCTACACACCTGTTCATGGGGCTTGGGAGAGATGATGCTTGTTCACTTGAACAAGTGTACTAGCCGGTTCACAACTGAATCCTAAATTAAGGTTTTAAAACTAACATTAACTTGTCCATGATGCTTATTGGCTCAGAAATGGCACAGAAATGTCAAATGCTACTTTTATTTTAGTGGTTTTTTTTTTTGGTGGGGGCACATAGTTGTATCTGATTATTTTCATGCTCAAAATATTCATGTTTAATATAGTATTGCATGTAAGAAGCATAGCCCAAAAGTATGTTTAGAGTGGAAATAAGTTAACTCTGTGTTTGTATTTGGATTAGTTAATGTTACTGTGAAAAATTTTGCTAGTATTGTGCTAATACTGGAGGAGTTTCATTTTAGTTCTGTTTTTTAAGAAAAGGAAAAAAAATTAAATCTGAAAAATATTTTCCAATGATCCATAACTGAAACAATGTCTAAGTGGATTTTCTTTAAACTTTCCGTTTACCTACATTGTTTTTTAAAACAAATCTTCTAGCTAAAATTAAGCATTTACATTTGTAGACTAAAAAGATGATTTTGCATAAATTACTCTCAGAATGAAAACACAAATGGGAAAGACAGCTACACATACAGACAAACTCACTGAAATAGTATAGAGCTATCCCTTTCTCCATGCCCTCCCCCTACAGGTCCAACAGGGTTATAGCTGGCCTGATCCGCATCTCTGGCCCTTTACTGCCCCTGTGGTCATTATTTACTATAACTGTCCCTGCTAGCAGACCCCTCCCTTTCTGTTTTATGAGAACCAGTCACAATCCAAGCACATCCCATTGTCCTGTCACAACCTAAACCTGACTTTAATTTAAGTTATGATAAGAGGAAGCTGCATGACAAATTTGGTGGTCCTAGCTCTTAGAGTTTAGGAGGAGTCCTTGAACTAATGGGCTCATACAGGGATGGGCAGATAGCAGAGACACTTTTCTAAAATATTTAGTAAGATTGTTTCTTTATTATTTATATTTTAATTACTAACTTTTGCAATTGTTTTAACAACAGCTTCCCCTTCTATGCGAGGATCAACCCCTCTAGATGTTGCAGCAGCATCTGTGATGGATAACAATGAACTTGCACTAGCTTTGAGAGAGCCTGACCTGGAGAAGGTTAATGACAATATTTTCTAGCATTTTTTCAGGATTTGTGCACGTACATAAAATATGAATCAAAGGGCATCTGTCATCACAAGTAATGGATTACCTGAAGTTATATATTTCCTGGACATGTTATAGTTTTGTGTGTATTATCTGTGCTAGGCCACCAAATATTTTCAATTTGAAAACTTAAACTCTTTCTAATGGGTAAATTTATTGAAATGCCTTGCAGCAGTATTAGAGACTCTGGTCTTGGCATACACCAGATTGTCCTATGAACAGTACAAAAATACAGACCCAGCCTTAAGGATTGTCAATGTAAAGTATGAGACAAAAGATGACAGATAAGGGGTGTACAAAGTAACAGTTATGATTAATATAATGAACTATTGTAGCCCTACAGTTGCCTAGCCACTGTCAAGTGTTTCATAGGCATCACAACAGAAGTGAGTGTTAAGGAGGTACTGGGATTTGGTCTGTACATAAAAGTTTTACCAGCATAATTATGGTAGGTGAGGGCATGGTTTCTTGCTAATATCACTGTGTCTTTAAATGTTCCAGTTAACATAGTTATAGTGGTGTGCCAGCGGTTACGCTGGTTTCCCACATTGACATAAGCTATACGAGCATAATCAATTTTATACTGATCTGATAGTGTCTGGGCTGGGAGTGTTTCATTGATTTAAGTGTTCTGGTGGTAATTAAACTGGCAACATTTTCTAAGGTAGATCTGCACTTGAAAAAAAAATTTAAGGACTTGGCAGATTTTTATGGGGCACTGCTCTTGTGTGTGAGGGGAGCTTCTGCAAATATGTTTAAGGAAGATTGAACTAAAAGTCATTAAAGCTTCGGGATAATGCAGAGAGCAGCTGGGGAGGTCAACATCTCAATAACCTACAGTGTAGGGAGGGGCTAAGTTCTGAAGGGCCATAGAAGTGTAGATAGGTAGTTTGAGCTTGATGCAGAGAAAGAGGGTGACTAGTGGAGAGATTCAGGAGGGTGACATAATTAGAACTCCAAATTAGGATGGCAGGATGGTATTTACCAAGAGTGTGTCTAGACTACATCACTCTGTCGGCAAAGGGATGTAAATGAAGCACTTTGAAAGTGCAAATGAAGCCGGGATTTAAATATCCCATGCTTTATTTGCATAATCATGTAATGGCGCTCTTTCGAAAAAGCGCTGTTTCAAAATTGAAGGCACAGTCTAGACGCAGTTCTTTCAAAATTGGGGCCCTTTTTCAGAAGATCCTGTAAGCCTCAAAAATGAGATTTACAAGGTCTTTCAGAAAAATGCTCCATTTTCGAAAGAACTGTATCTAGACTGCAGTTTCAATTTAGAAATAGCGCTTTTTTGAAAGTGCGCCATTACATGATTATTCAAATGAAGCACGGGATATTTAAATACCAGCTTCATTTTCACTTTCAAAGTGCTTCATTTACATCCCTTTGCAGACAGAGGGATGTAGTCTAGATGTAGCCCTAGGCTGGCAAGGAGGCAAGTGCAATAGTCAAGACCTGAGATGAAGTAGATTTGTATGGGAGCTTTAGATGCACTTACAGAAAGGCTGGCTGTTAGATATGTTGTTCAGGTATAGCCTGGATTTGAGGATCTAGAAGAAAGGCTAAATCAAAGATGATAGACAATGGAACTGTTTTCCCTGGTGAGTGAAAAAGGAGGAAGTAGGAAGAGGCAAAGGTTGGGGGATAGAAGAGAATTGAGAGCCTTGTTGGGGGTTCATTGAATATAAGTTGATGGTTGGATAGGCAATATAAGATGTCTAAAAATTGAAATAAAACAAGCCAAAATTTTAGTTTGGATAGGAGATTGATCAGAGTGGAAGACCAGTTTTGTAAGGTATGAGCGGAAAGAGAGTTGAAAATTGTTTTTGAGTATCAATAGAGTGCAGAGGGACAACAGGAGGAAACTAAGAAATGAGTCATTTGGGACGCTTACTGAAAGTTGGAGCAGGGATGATATGGGCTGAACAAAGTGCTCAAAAGAATGATTAAAGAAGAAAGAAGAGAACAGAGAGGACAAGATTTCACAATGTAGATTGTGCTTAGCAGAGCCAAAAGGTGAAAATAGATAACGACAATGGAGTATCAGTCCTTAGATTTGGTGAAGTGGAGATCATTCAAGATTTTAGATAGAGCTGTTTCAGTGGAGCTTAGAAGATGGAAGCCAGATTAGAGGGTATTTGAGTAAACTACCTCTTTTAAAAGTCTCAGAGGGGTAGCCATGTTAGTTTGTAACTGAAAAAAAAATTAAAAAACAATGAATGGTCCTGCAGCACCTTAGAGACTAACAAAAAAAATGTAGGTGGTATCATGAGCTTTCGTGAAGTGGGTTGTGCCCACAAAAGTTCATCATAGCATCTACTTTTTTGTTCGTCTTTGAGGTGCTGCAGGACCAATTGTTTTTTATATTTTTATTTTTTTTTAAAACAGTGTTTTTCCCCTTTTTTACAATTAATGTGTTTTTTCCTTTTTCATCTTACCTTATTTTTAGGTAGTTCGCTATTTAGCTGGGTGTGGTTTGCAAAGCTGTCCTTTGCTGGTTTCTAAGGGCTATCCAGACATTGGATGGAATCCGGTTGAAGGAGAGCGGTATCTGGATTTTCTCCGATTTGCAGTTTTTTGCAATGGTACTGTTCTGTAATGTTTAAATAATTGTATATATAACATTTGTCACTGAGAGCTTTTCTGCATGGCAACTTATTGCACAGCAAGCCAAGGTGTGACTCTACAGTGTAGCCATGAAGTAAGTCACTATATGGACTCTGCTCTCGCACGCTTAATTTTCTGTAGTACATAGAATCAGGTTCACGTTCTGGCTTGCTGGGGTCTAAATCAGCATGCAGATGAGCATCTAATATGTACATGCCATCATCATAGATCAGAGATCATGAGATAGCAAAAAAGTTAAAATCCAACTTCATGAATAAGGAAAGCTGATGTGACTCAGGAAGCTTATATCAATGGGGTTTAAGTGTTTAACTGGTGCATTGGTTCTTGTACTGGCCCTCTGACACTGATATGAATTTTTCCACAAGTAAATGACATATGTGTTAGTGACTTTTTGGACCTTAATTTAGTTTTAAATTAAGTAATATAAATATTCTGATACTGTATTCTTAACTTTTAGGCAATAATCACCAGAAGTTGGGTTTCAGTGTGAGTGTAATATAAAATTCAGCTTTATACTGCTGAGCTAAGAGCTCATAAACAAGCTACTATATCTGTTGAATTTCTTCTATAAATCTTTTAGATTCTATGCAGATAAAATTTACATATAATCTAACACATTCCATGTCTTTATGATTTCACAATACCAAATTCTAATTTATATGAAATTTCTGAATGCTGCATTGAACCACAGCAGAATGAAATAATTTAAATATGCAAACACTAATCTTTGCTTCTTTCTGCCTGCACTAGACAATTTAATACATCTGGGGTTTTTTACAGAATAGCTGAATAAAGTTGAATTTTGTCTTCAATATTTAAGTACAGCCTGTATTGTACTAATGCTTATGTAATGTGTCTTCACTACCCATCTTAGAGCAGATTGTATCTTGGATGTATGCTGAATTGATCCACTGACCATTATTTTTTCTATACGATGTTAGGAGAGAGTGTTGAAGAGAATGCTAATGTGGTGGTCAGGCTGCTTATTCGTCGTCCTGAGTGCTTTGGTCCAGCATTGAGAGGGGAAGGAGGTAACGGATTACTTGCTGCTATGGAGGAAGCTATAAAAATATCAGAAGATTCTACCAGAGATGGACCTTCTCCAAGTACTGGATCCAGTAAAACTCTGTAGGTGCAATAGAGCTGTTTAGTTTACCTACAACTTTTTGTTTTATAGTCCTGTTAGAAAACTTATCCATTGTTGCCCAGGTCTGGGGATGGCCTGGTGGGCAGGGGCCATGTTGCTGGCTCACCAACTTTTCCCTGGGGCCAGCCCAGGTTGGGGTGGGGTCAGATCATGCAGGCCACCTGCTGCCTTGTCCCCAGGACTGGGCCAGGGTGGGGGAGGAGCCACACAGCCCTCCCTCCAGCTTCTCTATGGGACTGGCCTGGGATAGTGGGGGCTGCGTGGCATGCTGGGTAGCTGCTTCCAGCTGCTCCCCAGGGCCAGCCTGGAATGGCAGGAGGGCTGCATAGCATGGTAGGCAGCTGCTTCTCACAGGCAGCCCAGGTTGGCAAGGGCTGTGCTGCTGACCAGTGGCTGCTTCCTGGGACTCGTGCATTTGCTGCCCCCCTTATGGTCTTTCATGAACAGGGCTCGACAAATACTACAATCTACTCACCCATGGCGAGTAGATTGCAACCCGGAAGAGCTGGGTTTGGGCAATCTGCACATGCAAAGAATGATCTGCGCATGCGCAGATCGCCGGACAGCACGACTGGCGAGCAGGACTTGCCGCGGTTCGACGAGCCCTGTTCATGAGTATAACTGTCCCTCATGCTTGCTGCCCTCAAGGTCATTTGATGAGTATAACTGTCCCTGCTACCACTTCCTTCCCTTTCTGTTTGATGCAAAACAGTCGCATTCCATGCACATCCCATTGTCCTGGTGCAACCAACCCCTGACTTTGTTTCAAGGTATGGTAAGAGCAAGCTGCATACCAAATTTGGTGGTCCTAGCTCTCACCGCATAAGGGGAGTTCTTGAACAGATGGACTCACAGATTGATGGATGGACACACAGATGGGCTGACGCATAAACTTCCCAAAATATATAGTAGATTTAGGGAATTCAGTATTTCTTATTACCGTATTTTTAAAATACTATCATGTGGGGCAGGAAATATTCTCTACTTGAAAAACTCCCTGGGGTGTAGATCTTCAGCCAAGTGGGACACTGCTTCTCTCTCTGAGCTCATAGCTGCAAGCCAGAATGCCTATATTCAAGTCGCACAGCATCTGTAAGATTCCTGCTCTCAGTTGCTTTGTCATAAATCCAGAATAACTTCTTTGACGCTGAAGGCGTTGCCTTGGGTTTTGACTAGTGTAAGCATGAGCTGATTTTGGCCCCAACTTTGTGCTGATTCCATAGATTATGAAAAAATATTTTTTCATATTTTGTTTCTTTAACAAATGAATAAAAGTGAGATGGAAGAAGAAGATGACACTATCCACATGGGAAACGCCATCATGACTTTTTATGCTGCTTTGATTGACCTCTTGGGACGTTGTGCCCCTGAAATGCATGTAAGTTTGTCTCTGTAGGTACCACTACGTTCTTACTGATGATTTGGTGTTTTTTTTAGTTCATTGGCCTTTTCATAACAACACATGTAACTCCCTATGTACTGAAACAATGTTACAATATTTAAATGTGCAGATATGATTTAAATAAACTGTATGTGGGAGAATTTTGATATTGGTTAAAACCAATGTTCAGCTGCTGTTTTCTTAAGGCAGAGGCACAATTCTGCCTTCAGAATCTGTGTGGCATATCTGAGCTCCACTAACTTGCTCTTCTGACATTTGCAGAATCTCCAGTGTGTGTACCAGTGTGTATGGGCTTCTAGGGAAAGCAGAGAATCAGTCAAGTTATACCACATGGCTCTAAGATTACCATTTTTGCCCAATAGATTAGAAATCTTCATCAAAGAAAAATGTTGGAGAACTTCTGTTTCTTCCCTGTTTTATCTCTGATGACTGTAACCCTCTGCGAATTTCTGAAGTCATGTATAGGCAGAAACTAAGTTGTCAGGTTGCCTCCTTTTCTACCAGGAGACTGAAAATATCCCGTACAGTGGCCTGCAGCATCAAGAAGATACTCTTGAACTATGTTCTCCCATGTGGTGGTGAGACTATCCGGAACACACTGCTCTCTTTTTCATAGTTGTAAGCTATTTCTTTAAAAATCCCCAAGCAGTATTTTGTACATTTGAGCCTACATATAAAAGAAAGTAAAAATGATGTTGCCTTCCATTAAAACATGAATAATTAATACTGTTCCCAGAGATATAACTTGTATTCCATCATTTACTGCATTAGCATCATTTAGGATACTAGTCAACGATCAGGGATCTTTGTGTGCTAGGGAGCTATACAAATATATAATTGAGACAGACTGTACACTAGAAAGTTTACAGTTTAGGCCCCAGTCCTGCACTTATAAACTTATACACATGCTTAACTTTATGTATGTCAGTGATCTCGCCAAATTTATTAGGGCTTCTCCCACACTTATTAAGTATGGTTGTTTTTTTCAGGACTGGGGTCTAGGTTATGACTAGATGTACATGTGGATGGGAAAAGTACTTGGAAGTGGGAAATATGAGGTAGGGACCTCTTGGGCACATTGAAGTTCAAAATATGGCCTCATTTCTCTAAAATAATATGGTCTTGCACAGGTTCCCATAAATGTCATATTTTACCCATGAAAGCCCAGGATTTTATATATTTTTTGTTAGTCTGTAAAGTGCTGAAGGAATACTCAAAGATTATATAGGTTCCGAGGGGTATCTGAGTTAGTCTGTAACTTGAAAAACTTAAACAATGAATAGTCTAGCAGCACCTTAAAGGCTAACAAAACATATAGATGGTATCATGAGCTTTCGTGGGTACAACCCACTTCTTCAGATGAAGACATTTATGTAGGGTTAGACATTCTTAAAAAATAGAAGCATCTGTATTAAAAGTTTACTGTGTATGTTTGTGTGCTGTTTTATTTGAAGAATAAATATTATTTTGATCTAGTTATCATAAACCCAGAGTCACCCTGAAAGATCCATAAACCAATAAAGACAGTGAAGCAGATTATGACATAATAGCTGAACTCATCAGCATATCATGGATTTTCATTCACGTTATATGTTGACACTTTGCCCTCTTCCCCAGTTGTCCCATCACTTCACTTTGAAAATGTAATTATTCTACTTGATTAATAAAATTGTCATGCTTCTAGGTCCATAAATTTGCATCTGGATCAAAACAAATGAAGTATATTGTGTAAAATGTGTATATTTAATGATTATTTGACTCAGCACTCATTTTTGCAAATGTGTACTTCTGAAGGTTTCTAGACTATTCAGGCAATTACAGGAAAAAACATTAATTGATAATTTTTTATTACTCTTTCATTAGCTAATCCATGCTGGCAAAGGAGAAGCCATTAGGATCAGGTCTATTCTGCGATCTTTGATTCCCCTGCAAGATTTGGTGGGTGTAATTAGCATTCCTTTCCACATGCCAACAATAGCAAAAGGTAAGATGATTGCTGTGCATTTCTTTCTCCCCCACGAGCTCATTCTTTTGAATTTGGCTGTTAATATGTAAATATTATTCCCAATTTCTCCACATTGGGGAATTTAATTATTCGCCATATGTGTTCTTGAAAAGTCATACCGCTTTTTTTTGGTTTTCTAGACAGTGACTCTATGTCCATTTTTAAATCAATGGCAAAAAATTACACTAATTTCAGTGGGTCATCAGTGCATTCAAAACAGCAATCAGATCTCTTAACAATGAATATGTGAGAAAGTAGAGAAGGCTTATTACGGGGAACAGAACAAGATGAGTTCTATGAAGGATCATCTTCTAGACATCTTTGTCTTAAGGAGCTACTTTAATGTATCCCAGGGTGTCCAGTGTAATTTATTCAGCAAGCAAATTTAACTGTCTTTTTATGATACCACTTAAGACAAGTTCCATTGTTCATATCTGGCTTTTGTAAAAAAAAAAAAAGGTCCATCCAATATTTTATATAAACCATTCAATCTAAAAGGCTATGAACATTCTTTATTCTTTTCATTCTTGGCAAATTATACATAAAATTTCAGAGCCATGCAGGCTGCAGTGGATGGTGGTTTCTATTTCAGTCTCTAGCAGACTATGCTCACCAGAGTCAGATTTTGTTTTGTGGACTTTAACATTTGGGAGTTCTGAACCAGGGTGCTGAGGTGAGAACGCTACAAACTGTTGGTTATGATTGCTCCTGTCCTGAAACATTGTTACAAGGGGTATACTATTTTGTTAGTGTGTGTTGGCTTCTCCTTGCCCCGTGCTGCTCAAGTGAATTGACTGCCATCACAATTAAGGATGTAAAATCCCAATTAATCAGTTAACTAATATTTCTTTAGGTTTAACCAGTTAATGGATTAAGTAGGATCCTGCTCCAGGTTCACCCCTTGCTTGGGGCTGTCTGTGCTGCTGAGAGAGTGATGCTTACTGGGTAACAGACTAACCAGTTACCCATTCACATCCTTAGTCCCAGTCAGGGGAAATTATGGTGTGGCACATCTGCAGCTCCACAACAGGTGGATGCTCCATGACTTTATAGCCACAAATGTATTTTTTTCTATTTTTCTGAAAAATAATCTAACTTGCCATTTCTTTGCCTGAGAGATTGGCAAGCTAAACCCTAGTTCCTGCACCAGAATTTATATTGTATGTTTTTTATCTCTAGCAGTGCTAACTTTACAATATGCCCACACGGGAGCAGGAAGGTAGGTTTAAATTCCAGCATACCCACACTAGTTCTGATTGTGCTAGCACACTAAACATAGAAGTGTGGTCACAGAGGTGATAAGGACAAGGTTCTCTGAGTACGTACCTACGTTCTCGGATAAGATTACAGTTTGGCAGGCTAGTCCCCCCCATAGCTCATGTACATTGGCTACACTTGTATTTTAGCATGCCAGATTGATCAGAGCTAACACAGTCTCCTTAGACTGGAATTTACACTTTCCAGCTCTCGTGTAAACCTAAACTGTAATCCTTATCCGTCCGTGAATTCCGCATGAGCATATCCCTCCACCCACATGTGGACCCAACACACACCAAATAAATTCAGTGGGACTCCAAGCCTGACTGCATAGGACTTATGGCAGGAGCAGAGTCAGCTCAAGGGGGCTGGCATTTAGCAGAATTATAATTCTGCATTTACAGGCATGGATGCAGCTTGCCTTACCTCAGCACTTACAGCACAAGAATATCCCGATTGTAACACAGTCTTTCAAACCCAAGAAGGCTAAATTACCTTACAAATATGAACATATGATAGATGGAGGTGATAACTAAACAGCACTATATAAACCACAAGAATAAAAAGGGTTATTTGAGTTACACAAAGAAAGTATCACAAGGTAAAACTTTTCTGTGTTATGTTTTCAAACATAACAATAGAGATCCTTTACTACCAGCATTTTGGTTGTGTCATCAAGGATAATTTTTATGTGTATACTTCCTAAGCTCAAAAAATAGCTCTGAATTTCTATCACCTTTTAAGATCATGTAGTAAATGGTCCATTTTTAGTTTTTTTTTCTTGTAATCTCTTGTTCTTATTACTTTTGTTAATAAACCTACCTTACAGGTATTCTCTTCAGTGCTGCACTCCGTGCGGTCCAGAGATATACAAGTCAGCCTCGTTTTCCTGCTTACTTTCTGTTGGACTTTTTTAGTGAACCCAATATATTACAGGGTACTTTTCCTATTCTGCAGAAGAGAGTTAGCTAGTGTGACTGCTTTGGCATCCAGCATATGAATGAGACTGCATGCTTATAGTATAGGATTTACCTGGATTTAGGTTGCCTTATGCATTTTAGTCAGTCAGGCTATGAACTGGTTGCCTTTGTGTAATATAAACACATGGAAAATGTACAGATAATAACAGATGCTCAGTACCCTTTTATTGACCCTTATTGCTTCCTTTTAGATGGTACTGTGGTGGAACCTGACATGTCAGCGGGGTTTTGCCCAGATCACAAGGCAGCCATGGTTTTGTTCCTTGACAGAGTCTATGGAATTGAGGACCAGGAATTCCTTCTACATCTCCTTGAAGTTGGCTTTCTGCCAGATCTCCGTGCTGCTGCCTCTTTAGACACGGTAAAGATTTACATTCTTTGATTTGTCAGGTCCTTTAGCTTGGCAAGCACTGCACAAAATCACAGTCTTGTCTTTCAAGAGGGCCTCTGCCCATTCCTGCACACAGGAAGCACTCCCTGCTGCCACTGATCTTTGAGAATATATAAAAAGCAGGCAAGAGACATTCTCCAGATGGATGCTTGTTTCATAGAATATTCACACCTCAAGGCCAGGACTACCATCTGTAGAGGCCCAGAGTCTTTCCCAGCAAAGAGACCTTCAGAGCTCGAGTCCTGGATCTAGAATCCAATCAGGTACCTATGGTGCCTGAGGACCTTTCTCTAGGGAAATGGGGTAAAGGATTTCTTTTCCATAATCCCATGATCTGGGTCTGCCTCTTACCTCTGGAACTCTCTTGACCGTGTTCTATTTCTGCCTTAGAATCATCTCTTACTTTCAGTCATGGTCTGTCCGTGGGATGGGAGGAAAAAGGGAGTCTGAAGGCTGAGACCTGGCCTTCAAGAGTCCAGATAGAAGGAGGCAAAAAAGTCTGAAGAGCCATAAGTATTGCTGCTTGTGGCACAGAATTTTTGCCTTCCTTGGAGTGATAGTCTTATTATATATTTGTTATTGTTATTGTTATTGTTGTTATTATAATATAAAATGATCAATACTATTATTTGCTGATTCTGAAAGGCTAAAAGATGTAAAATAGAGGGGGAAATTTTGTAACTCTCTATATCAGAAGGAGATATTTTGTTTGAGAAGGTATTATATTTCCTTGGTCTCTATTCAGGAACTTGTTTTTAAACTGATCATCATTCTACAGTTACAGAAATTAGACTGATGCAATTATGCTGGCAACAGGAAGAGTGCACTTTAAAGCAAAGGTATCAGAAATGTAGTTCACTTGGTGTCTATTTGATAGGATCAGATTTTGTAGAGGTTAAGTGTTCATTTTTTAAAGGAAGTATCTAGTTTTCAGAGTAATGGGGGAAAAACTTGCAAATGTGAATAAAATATAAACATTTTTTCGTATGTGAAGAAGCAAGTCAAGCTGCTTTTGGCTTAAATATCAGGCAAGTCAATACTGGATGTAGGGTCCACATTTATTATGGGCACCAAGAACATTAGTTCCAAAAAGTGAACCTTTTCAGGAATTTTGATTTCATAGAATGCTTGAATTTAGCAGAAAGAATCAAGGCAATTAGAGGCTACACAGCTCTTCTGTTACCTCAGGTTTGACCTCAATTGTTCCTATTTTCCAGAAAGCTCCAAAGCGCAGCATTGCCAGAGGTGTGACTACCAAGAGGTGATACTTTAAACACACTCCTTTGTGTGTGTAAAAGAGAGAGGACTTGAAACAAAGCCTTGTATTGTACCTCCATGTGTGGTGTATTCAGAATCTAAATATGCACCTGACTTTTGCAAGCAGCATCAGTCTCTCTAATGGGTGACCCAAAACCCCATGTCAAGGTTTCATGATCTTTAGAGAATTCAGAATAACTTCAGCAGTTTGAGCCCAGTACTGTAGATAATATCTGTGCATTGTACAACTAAGTAGAATAATCGTTAACATTTTGTGGATCCCTATTTTTGGCATCTTTTATGTAGTATATATAATTCAATTTTTTGAAATATATCTTTTCATTTTGAAACTCTGTATATGGTAAGTAGCATGTCTGTAAAGTAACGAGTGACTGAATATAGGAGGTTATACTGGAATGTACACATTTTAGGATTTATACTGTCTGTTTCTCTGTGTATTGAGTCCCATTACTTTTACAAATTTCATCGTTGTCTGTGATATTTTCCACAAAATAATTATAGTGTAGTTTTGAAAAATAATAGTGTGTAATGGTATCATATATGAAATGAAGGGAGGAGAGTTTCCCCATTGTGCTTTGGAAAATTAATTCCTCCCACATATATTATGAAATAAAAAACTGCAGTTGTAGTTATTTTCCTTTGTAACAATATTTATCAAACAAGTCTCATTGTTTTGGTTCAATTTCTTCCGTAGGCTGCTTTGAGTGCTACAGACATGGCCTTGGCTCTGAATCGATACCTTTGTACTGCAGTCCTGCCTTTGTTGACCAGATGTGCTCCTCTTTTTGCTGGCACGGAACACCATGCCTCCCTCATAGATTCCTTATTACATACCGTGTACAGACTCTCCAAAGGCTGCTCTCTTACCAAAGCTCAGCGGGATTCAATTGAAGAATGTTTACTCTCTATTTGTGGGTAAGTGAATATCCCTGACTCCACAGACAAATGAGTTGCTATATTGAAATTGATATATACAAAACTATGAAGGCAGAAAAGCAAACTACATGGCATCTTTTATCAGAAGCATGGTTATGGATTTTATTTAATATATGGTCACTCTTGAGGCACTGTGTATTCTTCCATTTTTGCTGGCATCTGGGAAAGATGTGTTAAATATAGTTTTGGCTATATTAATATCACAAACTTGTAATTATATGTAGATACAATTTTATGATGCTCTTCTATTAACAGAGTCTTCTTAATTAACCTCAGTAGGCAAACACGAGAATGTACTCCAACAGGGAAAAAACTCTATATAAATAAGAACATTAATAAATATGAACATAGCAGAGTATCATTTTAAAGAACATTTTAAACATTACAAACTGATAGTTCAGTGCGGTGATTTATGGTAGAAGGTTATATTGCTTAGTGAAGCTATTCCATTTTCAGCTGCTTTTTAATTTCTAGCTGACTTCTAATATAGTGGTTTGTGCTCAACACAGTCTCCAACCTATCAGTTGCATAATGTCACCCTCTTTACATCTTGGAATTTTTGTCTGTATTCTTCCTTCTCAAGTCTAGCAGTCCATGTACAAAATTTTCAAAAGTGTGCAGGTCCCATTTTCAGAATGTGAAAGTACTCAAGAACACTTACACATCTATATCATTTATGTACTTTTGAAAATGATAAACCCAAGATTTTTCCTAATGAACTTCCTTATCAGTTCAAAAGCGACACACACTTTGTATTACTGCCATTGTTCCTTGAAATTTTTTCTATCCCGAGTGGAATGAATTTTGTTATGTGCACCAGTGTGGTGATGAAGTACAATACATCACCTTTACGGTGGTGCAAGTAACAAAATTCATGTGCTGGGAGTGGGGCCAAAGGGTTCTGAGTGTTGGGATGGGGCTGAGGGTTGGGGAGCAGGAGTTTGAGGGCTCTGTCTGGGAGGTAGGCTCTGGAGGGGGGTCTGCGGTTGAGGGGTTCAGGGCTGGGACAGGATGGGGGTGCAATGGTTCTGGATTGAGGGCAGACTTTGAGGTGGGGTGGGGATGAAGGGTTTGGGGTATAGAAGGCCTGCTGCAGGTTTGAGGAGGAGCTGGGGATTGGGTGCAGAAGGGGGGTACAGGCTTCAGGGTCAGACTTTTGGGTGTCACCAGGGATGAGGGCTGTGGGATGCAGGAGGATACTCGGGTAGGGGGCTCAAGCTGGGGCAGGGTTTTGAGGCTTGGGCTTACCTGGGCACCTCCCCACTGGGCATGACGAGAAGGAGTGCCTCAATGATCTCTTCCCCACTGCAGCCCTGAGCCCCTGTGCAGGGCTTACTAGGAACTTGCAAAGTCTAGGGGAAACTTATATGGTTAGTGGTAGTTTTGAAGTTCAGAATAAATAAAAGCAGTGTACTGTCATTCTTAATGCACTATATTATAAAACCATAGAACTAGAGGGTTGGGTGGTATCTTGAGAGATTATCTAGTCCTTCCCCCTGTGCTGATGTGAGACCAATTTTATCTAGATGACCTCTGACAGATGTTTGTCTAATCTGTTTTTAAATCTTCTAGTGATCGGGATTCCATAACACTCCTTAGTAACCTATTCTGGTACTTAACTCATGTTATAGTTGGAAAGATTTTCCTAATATGTAAGCTAAATCTCTTTTGCTGTATATAAATCTGATTACTACTTATCCTACCATCAGTGAACATGAAAAACAATTGATCACCTTCCTCTATCTAATAACTCTTAACATATTTGGACGCTGTTATCAGTTGTTGTTTCTGCAAGGCTAAACATGCTCAGACTTTTTTAACCTTTTCTCAAAGGTAATATTACCAAAATCTTAGTTTACAACACTTTAATCTTGATAATGTCAATATCATATCTGTTATGTTCACAGTTTCTGTTACTTGAGAGACTTTTTATGTATATTCTCTGTCTATTATAGAGTGACATCTAGACAAATCTCTGTTATTTGTTCAGTCTTTCTAGCTGATGCCCAGCAATTTATGGGCCCTACTAGAGTTACACATCCACAGCATTAAAACTTAGCTTATATGGCTTCATCAGTGAAAAAAGATTTTCCTTGTGTGATTCTTTTCATGTGTTACAAAATCCACATAGGCACAGTATAAGCCCCCTTACCTCTGTCCAGGTCCCCTCTCCAAGGACATGGCCCTACTCCCAGCTGTAGCTCAGGGAGAGGGGCAATGAAGCTGGCTTTCAGCACCCACGGTATTAAAAATGTTCCATTGCCACTGAGAGTGCAAGGTGACAATCAAGTATAGTATCAGAATATAACATGTTCTGATTTGCAACTGGTCTCTATTTTAGAGATGGCATTTTCATGTTTTTTGTAATATATATATATATGCATACTGGAAGTAGTATACTTTGGAAGTTTAATTTATGCCTCTATTATTTGCTCTCCATCTTCTTCTTACACATTTTCAATCTGCTGTGTCACCAACAAAATTATATCACTTCCTGGATTTGGGAATATTTAAAGGAGTAGGACCAATGTATTGCCCATTTATTTATTGCATAAAAGTTAATTGGATGCTCTGTTGGAACTATTTGTCTGCCTACAGCCAATTGAGGCCTTCCATGATGCAACACTTGCTGAGGAGATTAGTATTTGATGTTCCTCTATTAAATGAACATGCAAAGATGCCTCTGAAGGTATGTGTGTGGTTTATACTAAAGGTAAATTTTAATCTTCTTGTACATCCCTGTATGTTGCCTTGATTTTATCCTTTAAAAGAAACTGTAGCATGTTATCACTGTAGCAAAAGGCGAGGAGCAAGAGTAATTTTTGTGACTGCCACTAATGCCCACTTCTGATCAGTCCACATAGAAGTATAAAGTCCATGCCTCATCTCTCAGACTCCCCTTCCAAGGCCTTGGAGAAAGAAACAAGCTGCAGAGATATTTTCCCTACCATTCAGGTTGTCTTCAGGCTTTGTTGACTGCTAATAGTGTTTGCAGCTCTGATCCATGAATGGATACTTAGATCCTCGCTTTGACAAGATTCCCAACACAGAGTCCTCTGAGTAAAGCCTCAGTGTGATAGGAGCTGAATCCTTCACTGCCTTATATCCCACTGTTTTTAAGTGTGCTATGAGAAATCCCATCTGATCATTTCCCAACACAGCTTTTATTTTGGTTTTCTCCCTCCTTCTAGAAAAAGCAGGTCATGGTTAATTTCATCTGTCACCTCTTTTGGATAGAAACTTATTCCTCTCTTCCTCCTGACTGAGAGTTTTCCATACTGTGAAGTTTCTTGCTTACACTGTGATGGTACTCGGCTAGCCAGACAACATAGAAGGCTAAACTCTGTGTTTTGCTTTCTCTCTGGAAGTTATGAACAATGTGATTTCCCTGAGTTACAAGTAACTGCACAGCTCTTCATAAGTAAGCAAGTTTATTCTAAAGGTGAAAGCATTTTAGAAAAAATGTATTAAAAACATTAAAAAAAAACTATAAGGATGCGAAAAGCTTACCAGAAATCCCCCCAACTCCAAACTTGGGCTCTGGTTGGTGTCTGGTGGGTTGTCCCATATGTTACAAGCTCATGTCATGTCTGTTTCAGATTCAGAATCCACACACAGGCTGGGCAGAGGAGACATTTCTTTTTTACAGTTCAGGTTTGGTCTTCAGTAATAGATCAGCAACACACAAGTCATAGTTGCAAAAGACTGGGTTTTTGCATAGCCAGAGTTGAGGGATTCACATCCACCTCCCCCCCTAGATATTGCTCAGGAAAATAACTTAATATGTTTTGTTCTAAAACTCCATTCTTGTCTGGCACACAGAATTATACAATACTAGGACTGGAAGGGACCTCGAGACGTCATCGAGTCCCGTCCCCTGACCTCATGGCAGGACACACTTTAACGTAGTCCTTTGACCCTCCTCCTCCAGGTCTCACATCTCGGTTACATACACTCTTGACTCACAATAATACTGAATCAATCATTTAATAAAATGGACACAAAAGATACGTACATTTAATTCAATGAGGTCTCCCAAAGATATGGCAAGCAGTTGTCACATTTGTCACAGCTATGATTCTACATGTGTGATAAAGATTTCTGTGCTTCACATTACATATCTTGATCTTGCTTTGAGTCTGAAAATCTTTACAATACTGGATTCTCTTTTTAAATCCATGGAATGTACACCTAGAATATAAATACACTTTTGACTGTAGTCAAAATCCTCCCTGCCTAATCTGCAGGACTTTCTGAAGATTCCATAAAGTTATAACTTTGGATTTAGCGGCGAGGAGTCCTGCATCACATAATAGACTAACTGAAGTATTGGAGCATAAGCTTTCGTGGGCAAAGACCCACTTCGTCAGATGCATGAAGACGAAGTGGGTCTTGCCCGCGAAAGCTTATGCTCCAACACTTCAGTTAGTCTATAAGGTGCCACAGGACTCCTCGCCGCTTTTGCAGTTTCAGACTAACACGGCTACCCCTCTAAACTTTGCATTTAATATCTCTATTCTAATATACATTCGGTTTTGACTTGTGATTTGTTCTTAGTTATGAAAAGATAAGAGTCAGGTGCCTCCTTTGCTGTCTGCGACTCTGAATATTTTATTTACTTACTTTCTGGCAGGTGGAGTCATCTGTCAATGGAATGTGTTTTTGTTTGCAGCATTGTTAAGATTAATTTAACAAATAGCTTAATAATTGTCTTTAATATTCTGGAACTCTTCTATAAAGAGATATATCTATTGTTTGACTTCCTTGCTAACTACTGTTTTTAAGCTTCAGAGGGGTAGCCGAGTTAGTCTGTAACGGGTAAAACTTAAAAAAACAATAAATAGTCTAACAGCACCTTAAAGACTAAGAAAACATGTAGATGGTATCATGAGCTTTCGTGGGTACAACCCACTTCTTCAGATGACAGAAGTGGGTTATACCCACGAAAGCTAAGGATACCATCTACATGTTCTGTTAGTCTTTAAGGTGCTGCTAGACTATTCATTGTTTTTTAAGTTTTTACTGTTTTTAGAAATTCTAAAGGGTTCTCCATATTAATGACAATACATCAAGGCTACGTCTACATTGGCACCCCTTTCCGGAAAAAGGATGCTAATGAGACCAGTCGGAATTGCAAATGCCACGGGGGATTTAAATATCCCCCACGACATTTGCAGGAACATAGAATCATAGAATAATAGGACTGGAAGGGACCTCAGGAGGTCATCGAGTCCAGCCCCCCGCCCTCAAGGCAGGACCAAACTCCACCTACACCATCCCTGACAGATGTCTATCTAACCTGTTCTTAAATATCTCCAGAGAGGGAGATTCCACCACCTCCCTTGGCAATTTATTCCAATATTTGACCACCCTGACAGTTAGGAATTTTTTCCTAATGTCCAATCTAAACCTCCCCTGCTGCACTTTAAGCCCATTACTCCTTGTCCTGTCCTCAGAAACCAAGAGGAACAAATTTTCTCCTTTCTCCTTGTGACACCCTTTTAGATATTTGAAAACCGCTATCATGTCCCCCCTTAATCTTCTTTTTTCCAAACTAAACAAGCCCAGTTCATGAAGCCTGGCTTCATAGGTCATGTTCTCTAGACCTTTAATCATTCTTGTTGCTCTTCTCTGTACCCTTTCCAATTTCTCCACATCTTTCTTGAAATGTGGTGCCCAGAACTGGACACAGTACTCCAGCTGAGGCCTAACTAGTGCAGAGTAGAGCGGCAGAATGACTTCACGAGTTTTGCTTACAACACACCTGTTGATACAACCTAGAATCATATTTGCTTTTTTTGCAACAGCATCACACTGTTGACTCATATTCAACTTGTGGTCCACTATGACCCCTAGATCCCTTTCCGCCATGCTCCTTCCTAGACAGTCGCTTCCTATCTTGTATGTATGGAACTGATTGTTCCTTCCTAAGTGGAGCACTTTGCATTTCTCTTTATTAAACCTCATCCTGTTTACCTCTGACCATTTCTCTAACTTGCTAAGGTCATTTTGAATTATGTCCCTATCCTCCAAAGAAGTTGCAACCCCACCCAGTTTGGTATCATCTGCAAACTTAATAAGCGTACTCTCTATCCCAATATCTACATCATTGATGAAGATATTGAACAGTACGGGTCCCAAAACAGACCCTTGCGGAACTCCACTTGTTATCCCTTTCCAGCAGGATTTAGAACCGTTAACAACAACTCTCTGACTACGGTTATCCAGCCAATTATGCACCCACCTTATCGTGGCCCTATCTAAGTTATATTTGCCTAGTTTATCAATAAGAATATCATGCGAGACCGTATCAAATGCCTTACTAAAGTCTAGGTATATGACATCCACCGCTTCTCCCTTATCCACAAGGCTCGTTATCTTATCAAAGAAAGCTATCAGATTAGTTTGGCATGACTTGTTCTTCACAAACCCATGCTGGCTATTCCCTATCACTTTATTACCTTCCAAGTGTTTGCATATGATTTCCTTAATTACCTGCTCCATTATCTTCCCTGGGACAGACGTTAAACTGACCGGTCTGTAGTTTCCTGGGTTGTTCTTATTCCCCTTTTTATAGATGGGCACAATATTTGCCCTTTTCCAGTCTTCTGGAATCTCCCCTGTCTGCCATGATTTTTCAAAGATCATAGCTAAAGGCTCAGATACCTCCTCTATCAGCTCCTTGAGTATCCTGGGATGCATTTCATCAGGACCTGGTGACTTGCTGACATCTAACTTTCCTAAGTGATTTTTAACTTGTTCTTTGTGTATCCTATCTTCTAAACTTACCCTCTCTCTGCTTGTATTCACTACGTTAGGCACACCTCCAGACTTCTCGGTGAAGACCGAAACAAAGAAGTCATTGAGCATCTCCGCCATTTCCAAGTTCCCTGTTACTGCTTCTCCCTCCTCGCTAAGCAGTGGGCCTACCCTGTCCTTGGTCTTCCTCTTGCTTTTAATGTATTTATAAAAGGTCTTCTTGTTTCCCTTTATGCCTGTAGCTAGTTTGATCTCATTTTGTGCCTTTGCCTTTCTAATCTTGCCCCTGCATTCCCGTGTTGCTTGCCTATATTCATCCTTTGTTAGTTGTCCTAGTTTCCATTTTTTATATGACTCCTTTTTTATTTTGAGATCATGCAAGATCTCCTTGTTAAGCCAAGCTGGTCTTTTGCCATATTTTCTATCTTTCCTACACAGCGGAATTGTTTGCTTTTGGGCCCTTAACAACGTCCCTTTGAAATACTTCCAACTCTCCTCAGTTGTTTTTCCCTTCAGTCTTGCTTCCCATGGGACCTTACCTACAAGTTCTCTGAGCTTATCAAAATCTGCCTTCCTGAAATCCATTACCTCAATTGTGCTGGTCTCCCTTCTACCTTTCCTTAAGATCATGAACTCTATTATTTCGTGATCACTGTCCCCTATACTGTCTTCCACTTTCAAGTTCTCAACTAGTTCCTCCCTATTTGTTAAAACCAAATCCAGAACAGCTTCTCCTCTGGTAGCTTTTTCAACCTTCTGAAACAGAAAGTTGTCTCCAATGCAGTCCAGAAACTTATTGGATAGCCTGTGCCTCGCTGTGTTAGTTTCCCAACATATGTCTGGATAGTTGAAGTCCCCCATCACCACCAAATCTTGGGCTTTGGCTAGTTTTGTTAATTGTTTAAAAAAGGCCTCATCCACCTCTTCCACCTGGCTAGGTGGCCTGTAGTAGACTCCTAGCATGATATCACCCTCGTTTTTTACCCCTTTTAGCTTAACCCAGAGACTCTCTACACAGCTATCTCCTACATTCATCTCCACTTCAGTCCAAGTGTGTACATTTTTAATATACAAGGCAACCCCTCCTCCCTTTTTTCCCTGTCTGTCCTTCCTGAGCAAGCCGTACCCTTCCATACCAACATTCCAATCATGCGTCCCATCCCACCAGGTTTCTGTAATACCAATGATATGATAGTTGTATTTATTGGTTAGCAATTCCAGTTCTTCCTGCTTATTACCCATACTTCTCGCATTTGTATATAGGCATCTAAGATACTGATTTGATCTTGCCTCCCTGTTGTGCCCTGTTTTTCCGGCTCGGGGTTTTGCCGGAGAAAAGCGCCAGTCTAGATGGGATCTTGCGGAAAATAAGCCCTTTTTCACAAGATCCCTTATTCCTATTTGAAAGGAAAGTTTAAGGCATAAAAGGGCTGCCGCTTTTTTCCGGCTCGGGGTTTTGCCGGAGAAAAGCGCCAGTCTAGATGGGATCTTGCGGAAAATAAGCCCTTTTTCACAAGATCCCTTATTCCTATTTGAAAGGAAAGTTGGAATAAGGGATCTTCTGGAAAAGGGCTTATTTTCTGCAAGATCCCGTCTAGACTGGCGCTTTTCTCTGGCAAAACCCTGAGCCGGAAAAAAGCGGCAGCCATGTTCATGCAAATGCAGCGGAGGATATTTAAATCCCCCGCGGCATTTGCAATTCCGACTGGTCTCATTAGCATCCCTTTTCCTGAAAGGGGTGCCAATGTAGACATAGCCCATAAGAAATATCAATTTGATGCTAAAATAATCTCAGGATTCCAGCCCAGAAAACCAAGAACACTAAAATAGCATGGAAATAGGGACCAATAGCATTACAAAGATAGATTCCAGAGGCAGTGGAATGGTAATTTTACAATGCCACTTCTTTATGGTCACTTAAAAGCAGTCTCCTGATGCTCCACAATTGCTTTTAAGATTCTAATTCAGCAACTTTTTCAATGCTGAACAATTTTGCTATATGGCTGTTGGCCTTTTGGTGAAGGCAATTTCAAAATATTAGAAAGAATTCACTTTTGTTGCCTTTCATAAATGCTTCATAGAACATGCATTCTTAGCCTAAGGGTTCTATCCCTGAAGGTGGAGCAAGCAGGTCCAAGGGACTCTGAACAGTTTTCCTTTTATTTATAGCCAGATTGAGCAGGGAGTCCTGATGTTCTTTGTTGTTGTAATATAGGGTCGTTGTGTGGAAAAGATGAAGAACTTCTATCATTGAACATTGCTGTCAGCATACCTGGAGGATGATAAATGGGATGCTGTTCTCTACATAAATAACTTCTTTAGATTTAGGGCTGCCCCAACATTTCTGAAGAAAAATATTATATAGAAAATAAATTATGTGCAGAAATGAAATAATTTCCCGTAACTTCTGTTGCGTTTAATGTTTTGAATCACTCATCAAAAATACTTATTATTTAATACAGATAATTTTTAGTCTCCTCTCATTAGGAGGAGTTTATTTCTCTGAGAGCTTCTGTTTCTAAGTGAAACATTAAGGATTACAGTAATTATGATTTATCTTTTTTTATTGCATTGTTCCTTATTGCATTGTTCCTTTAAATTCTCAAAGCACTGTATCTCAATTAAATTTAAGAATGCACCTTTGAGATACATGAGATGTAAGAATTATTTTTACCTGTTTTACAGGTGAGTAAACTCAGAGGTGAATAGATTGAAAAAGGTCTCAAATGCCACCCCTTAATCAGCTTCAGAGGGGGGAAGGTTTTATCTGGACCAGCAGGAAGGAAAATAAATCCCTTTTCCCTTTTATAAATTCCTTCCTTTTCATGGGAACCTTTCTTTTTGTGGACTTGAGGATGGGAAGAGGGGACTCTTTGGCTGATGGATGGGTCAGAAGGTGACATCATAAGCTTACTAGGCCCTGTGTACCCAACGGCGGGCTTATAAACCCTTTCTCTCTATCTAGGGCACCATTCTGTGCTCTGACAAAAAAAGCTCCTCACTTCTACTAGTTGGGATTAGAAGATGACCAGGTTTTTGGGCCTCACTGTGGGCAGCATGCTAGATGTATTTGGGGAGCTGGGATGGAATTTTTCCCTTAGTGCCAAATTGGCAGAGGCAAGGTAGTTTTTCAGTTCCTCTCAGAAGGTGAGGGGCAGGTGGAGAGGGGTTAGTTTTTTAAATTAATTTTATGGTAGTTTTGCCGGTATCCAGTGCAAATGCTTATTCACTAGATAGTTTGGTTCCCTATAAACTGGAATTTGAAGCAGATTAGTAGAAGGCAGCTCCTAAAGAAGGTGGAGAATAGGGGTGAGACTCATAATGTCCGGTAAAGTGAGGAGAAAACCCCCTCTTCCCTAATCACTTATCCTTCAGACAAGAGCGTGCTGGGACCAGGTAGAAGACAGGGGCTGAGGTTGATAGCAGCCTTCTACCAAACTCTATGGAAAAAGTATGGTTCAACAGTTTTCCTTATTGAATTTTGTCTGCAAACTATGCATTAGAACACAAACTCCTTGGATGATTTCAGAGATTGTTCTACTGTGTAATTATTGTGTGGCTTGTATAATGTTTGAATATCAAGTTAAATAAATACATTCAATTATGTTATATTTTTGGGTGCTTTTGAAATTTTTTATGTTCTAGTTGCTCACAAATCATTATGAAAGATGCTGGAAGTATTATTGCCTGCCAGGTGGGTGGGGCAACTTTGGAGCTGCATCAGAAGAAGAACTTCATTTATCCAGAAAATTGTTCTGGGGAATTTTTGATGCCTTGTCTCAAAAGGTAATTTTTGCATAACTTTTTAGAATCACAATGTGGGTTAATCATTCCCATTTAAAGTATTCTTTGAACTGAGCTGAGTTACTGTGTTAATGACTTCAAAATTATTTTGTAATTTCATTATAAATTATTGTAATTATGTAATTTCACTTTAAATTCTTCATAAATTAGGAAGAATACATAGACAACAGTTTATTTGTAATTTACCAAAGTATAGAAAACACAGAGCAGATACGTTTTTAATACTATTAATCAAGTAGGTAATAATAGTGTATAATTAGAAGATCCGTATAATGCTTAGGTTTATCATTTTGTCAAATGAAGTGCAACTTCCATGATAAATACAGCCTTTTAGAAATAAAATGTCATCCATGCATACAAGGCTGAATGGGTACAACACTATATGCACTTCTAATGTTTTCCTTTTTGTTTTTAATATTTTTATTACTGTACAGTAAAAAAGAACCCTCCAGCACTCTGCACTTGACAATATTTAAAATCACATTGACAATATTTAAAATCATCAGTTACCAAAGAGATAAATCATGTTAAGCTACAGCAATTATATAACACACATGAATTCACCTCCACAAAATTCCCACACGAGTCCCCACACCAACTTTACCTAGCCCTTCCCAGCACCTATTTCATCACTAGTAAGGGGGGAAAATAGACATTGTAGTGTGCCCTGAAAGTTAACAACTTCAGATTGTTATAGATTAAGAAGGAAAGCATATGTAATCATTGCTGACACAGCAGGACCATTCAGTTCCATGGGTCCACTCACTGTAATAAGGACTACGTATGTCAGTTTGCATTCATAGGATCAGGCCCTATATTATACACTATAGTAGCACTAATGAAATGTATCTACAAGTTACATTTAATTTATTTTAAGTATCATATCTCTACAGGGATTTTTCTTTCTTTCTATGGAATGAAAAAGTATCGGATAATATAGTAAATTTAAATTGTGCAGATGTCTATTTCAGCTTTTTCATGATCATTTTAAAATTTAAGCATCAGCTAATTTGTCTTTGAAATACCATCTGTATCTTAGCTGGAAAATATTTGGATTATGCATTTGGACATTATATAGTGTTCCCCCCCAACCTGATGAGGATTTCACTGTGGGTGGAAGCCATCTGATATAGAAAATCCAGGTTCTTGGACAAGCATTGAATAATCTTTGCTTTATTCTGTTCTGCCACCCTGTAAGGAATCCAGTTCTGCTCCCATTAAAGTGTTATTAAATTGTTATTACATTGACTTCAATGAAAGCAGGATTTGGTCCTTTCAGGATTCATTTGTATTTCATTGTAATTCACACATCAGGGTTGTTGGTTTTTTTCAAAACTGAGATTCTATTTCACACACAGTTATAAAAATTGTCCCATGACAATTTGGTTTTATGTACGGCTATAATGATGAATCAGTGTCAGTTATAATTGAAACAATCTCCATTTACCACTATATCTTTTTTATACCATATTTCTCCACAGAAGTATGAACAGGAACTTTTCAAACTGGCTTTGCCCTGTCTCAGTGCAGTTGCAGGAGCCTTGCCTCCAGACTACATGGAATCCAACTATGTCAGTATGATGGAAAAACAGGCTTCAATGGATTCAGATGGGAACTTTAACCCACAACCTGTTGATACTTCAAAGTAGGAACTCTCTCTAGTGCCACTCATTTTTACCATAAACAGTTTAATCCTAATATTGAAATAAGGGAGTAATGAAAAAATTACATTATAATCTTGAATTTCCATCCTTAAGATAGAATAGGAGGCTTGTTTGGTTGTTTAGTAAACCTCCTTTTTATTTGTTTTATGAAGCATCTAGCACACTTGTTGGAGTTATAAAAGTAAATAATACAGTAATAAATAGTTAACAAGGAGCCAGGATGTGAAATTCCTGTTACTGCCTCTTACATTTTACTCTAGAAAATGTGGTGATGATTGTATGTTTTATGCAATGCCTTTTTATGCTTATGGATTCCAAGAGGCAGGTCATGTTGTGGCAGATTTTGCACGGATGTGCCATGAGGGGGAGTGGGCAGAAGGAGCCCTCCTTTTGGCTTTCACATCTTTGCAATGGACAGCCAGAATCCCTCTGTGTCTTATGAGTGCAAGAGCCAGCAATGTTACACATCCCAAGTGGATTTTTGGCTGTGGTGATAGCCCCATACTTAATCACATATCATGGTGATACAAACCTGAGAAACATAGGACCACATGCTGCCTCTTCAACAAGATGGCTTCTGGGAATGGCTTCATAAGCACCCATGTAGACATTATGTCTCTCAGTACTCAGCAGACAGAATGCCTCCAACCACTGTCACTGGACTGTTGGGCCTGTGTATACATTCATGTGACGAGGCAGTCGGGGTTCCCCTGATCGTGCACCCCCAAAGCAGCAAGAACAGATTCCACCAGCAGTAGAATAGCGAGGTTTTATTGCTCCTCCAGGATACAGCACAGCATAGACGTGGTGCGTTTACGGGATTCAGGGCCTGGGTGTTTCAGAACCCTTGGGTTAGGGGTCCATCACCCCTAGCCCTCAGCCCGAGCAACCTCAGTCTGTCTCCCTTATGGTTCCAGGCCCAGACTGACCCTTCCCCCAGCACACACTTCCTTTGTCCTGTCTCTTCCCTTAACAAGTAGAACCGGTTTGGCTACTCTCCTGAGGCCCCTCTTGCTGGGCTGTGCCAGTGGGGGTCCTCCACAGCCCACTGCCCAACATAGCAGCCAGCAAGGTACTGACACTATACCACAATGCACACTGTCATGTAATTGTGGTGGCAAAAGTCACAGTCTGGCTTGAATAGGGGAAATCATGGTGCCCATTGCTGAAGTGCAATCACCTCTGAGGGTGAGATGTAATGTGCTAAGAGTCTAACTACATAACAACCCCTCACAACCATTGAGGACATGAAATTAAGATTACTTTGTCCAGCTGATATTGCAGAGGGTGAATTTTACGTAGACAGAATATAAATAACCAAATTGTTATAGTTGTCTAACTCTGGTGGCCACAGTCCTGGCTGTGAAAACAAGTGTTGTTATGGAACTTGCAGTTACAATAATTTTGAGAACCCTTTTTTAATCTCTTTGGGTACGTCTAAACTACATGGCTCAATCGATGGAGCCATGTAGATTTGTTGTTTTGGCAAAGGCAAATGAAGCCGCGATTTAAATGATCGCGGCTTCATTTACATTTACATGGCTGCCGCGCTGAGCCGACAAACAGCTGATCAGCTGTTTGTCGGCTCAGCGCGGCAGCCATGTAAATGTAAATGAAGCCGCGATCATTTAAATCGCGGCTTCATTTGCCTTTGCCAAAACAACAAATCTACATGGCTCCATCGATTGAGCCATGTAGTTTAGACGTACCCAAAGAGATTAAAAAAGGGTTCTCAAAATTATTGTAACTGCAAGTTCCATGCGCTGAGCGGACAAACAGCTGATCAGCTGTTTGTCGGCTCATCGCGGCAGCCATGTAAATTTAAATGAAGCCGCGATCATTTAAATTGCGGCTTCATTTGCCTTTGCCTGTGTGTCTAATCTACATGCCTCTGACGACAGAGGCATGTAGTCTAGACACAGCCTTTGAAAAAACACCATCTCAAGCATCACAATTTCCCCTTAGCTGAATGTTAAGGCGTTGGTGTGGTGTTGGTTTGAAAGAAAAAGCACTGCCTTAGCAATATCACCTCCATTGTGAGCTGTTTACCTACCAGTCCCTCCATCTAAATACTAACCAGGTCTAACCTTGTTTAGAAATGATTAAAGTTGATACAGCTGCAGGCTTAGCTGCAGCTGCAATTTTTTACGTTTGTAACATTTTGTGGAGTATTATACCATACCCTCTCTCCCTTCCCTCCACTCCCTTCAAAAAAAAAAAAAAAAAAAAAGAAAGAATATCAACAACCATAAGGAGTATACATGATGCATCTTTTATGGCTTCTTTCCACCTTGTACTTGAATAAATTTGTACATAGTCCTACATTAATTGTTAACTACTTGGAATAATTGTTATATACATCTCTTTTCTCTGATCCTATGACAGAGGATTAAAAGACAGACTTTCCTTGCATCCCAGTAGATGACACTGTAATATTGTCTATCCATTAATCCACTGTCATAGAGTGGAAGAAGAGGGTGCTAAGATAAACAGTTAGCAATAAGCACTTTTCCTTTTCTTTTGTAAGGGCACAACTATAGGAGACTGCTTTGAATGATAAATTATTCATTAGAAAATATTCTATAGTATTTGTTTTTGTTTGGAAGAGCAGTATTACTGCTCTTTCTGAAGGATGCGTGGTTTATTTGCTTATTGATTTTGATTTTTAATATTGAATGGCTTGTAAACATTCGATAGAATCTAAAATTTGTATCTGTTGAGTGGCTGTAAACGGCAGTATCTCAGTTATGTAATGAGATTTACAGGTTAATAATGTGCTTTAACGAAAGATGGTTGACAGTGAATTTATTTTTATATATATATATATATATGTATATATATATATATATATATATATAATATATACTATATTTGTAGAAAATAGGAACTGAAATATAATTTAAAACACAAATAAATTGAGTTTAGTAATCTAAACCGGTATGAGAAAAATTCAGCACATTTTGTCATTGTTAATATTCTTCGAACAGGGACAGCCCCAAGTTAAGATTCCTTTAACATTCAGGGGCCTGATCTAGCATCCGTTAAAGTCATCAGACTTTTAGGCTAGAAAGGATGAATGTGATCGTTTAGTCTGACCTCTTGCATATCTCATGCCACAGAAGCTCACCCACCCACTTCTTTAATAGACACATAACCTGTTCCTGCATTACTGAAGTCCTCAAATGATGATTTAAGGACTTCAGATTAGAGAGAATCCATCCTTTACTTTAGTTTAAACCTGCAAGTGACTCATGCTGCAAAGAAAGGCAAGAAACTTTCAGGGTCTCTGCCAATTTGATTTAGCAGAAAACTCATTTTCACCCCCAAAAATGGCAGTTAGTTGGACCCTGAGCACCTTGGCAAGAACGATCAGTCAGACACCTGAGAGAATTCCCTGTAGTATCTCAGAGCTATTCCCATCTAGTGTGCCATTCCCAGCCATTGGGGATATTTCGTACTAGGAGTCACTGGTAGGCCATTTGCCTGGTATAGGCAATCTCATCATACAATCTCTTCCATAAACTTACTAAGATCAGTCTTGAAGCCAATAAGGTTTTTTGCCCTCATAGCTCCCCTTGGAAGTTGGTCCCAGAATGTCACTCTTTTGTCAGTTAAATTACATCTAGACTGCAGCGCTACTTTGGGATACCGGAAGTATCCGAAAACAGCTATTCCACGTCTTTTAAAATAACAGACGCGCTATTTCAGTGTCCCTGTAAAACTTCATTCCACGAGGTTTAAGGGATGTTTTCGAAATTTGGTGTTGTGTAGACAATGCCAAATTTTGAAATAAGCTATTTCAAAATTAACTAAAAATAAGCTATTTCAAGTTAAGGGTGCAGTGTAGAGGCATCCTTAGACACCTTCATCTAAGTGCAGTTCTAAACTTGTTGAAATTTAGCATTTAGGCTATGTCTACACTCTATTTTGAAATTTGGTGTTGTGTAGACAATGCCAAATTTTGAAATAAGCTATTTCAAAATTAACTAAAAATAAGCTATTTCAAGTTAAGGGTGCAGTGTAGAGGCATCCTTAGACACCTTCATCTAATTGCAGTTCTAAACTTGTTGATAGCCAGTTCGTATCCATTTGTATTTGTCCCAACATTGACACTTGCCTTAAATAATTCTTCTCCTTCCCTGGTATTTATCCTTCTGATGTATTTGTAGACAGCAATCATATTTTCCCTCATCCTTCTTTTGGTTAGACTGAACAGGCCATACTCTTTGAATTTCCTCTTATAAGTTAGGTTTTTCATTCTTCGGATTACCTTTGTAGTCCTCCTCTGTGCCATTTCCAGTTTGAATTCATCTTTCTTAAACAAGAGAGACCAGAATTACAGTATTCCAGTGCTTTGTATTATGGTATTAACACTTCCCTATCTCTACTGGAAATACCTCACCTAGTGCATCCTAAGATTGCATTAGCCTTTTTCATGGCCTCATCCCATTTGTGGCTCATAGTCATCCTGTGATTAACCAATACACCTAGGTCTTTCTCCTTGTCTGTCTCTGCCAGCTGATAAGCCTTCAGCTTATAGGAGATGTTTCACTGATTTCAGTGAGCTTTGTATGAAACACTTTATGGGGAAACTTTCAAATTATAACATATACAAGATATTGAAATTTGTTTTTTTTCCTTTTTCAGTATTACAATTCCTGAAAAGCTGGAATATTTCATTAACAAATATGCAGAACATTCTCATGATAAATGGTCAATGGAAAAGGTAAGATTATATTATTTTCTTACCAAAGTGCATTCAGAATATTTTGGTTCTGCCCATATCACATTTTGAAGACTTTATTCAAGTTTTTGGTCTTATTGTAGCATGGCGTCAGTGATAGTCTGGCTAAGACTATCATTATTTTTACTTTAAGAATTGCTTTTTCAACAGTTTGGTAGCTGCAGTCATGTCATCATGTCTTGAACATGCTAGCCATTTTGATGTCAGTGTGGGTAACTTTTACAGCATTTAAAAAAATGCAGTTGGTAGATTGTATTACTTCACACTTCAAGTTTTACTTTTCTAACAATTATTTTATCTCTCTGTAAAAACCAACAGACATGGTCTCTGTTCAAACATACACCATGGCAAGTGTACAAGAAAACATATTCAAATATATTTAAGTTAACATTGGGATAATATAACAAAAGTCTGGACATTCAGAAGTGTCTGGACATTATGAGTGGCAGTTAGCACTCATAATGGCAGTTAGCATTTAGGCTATGTCTACACTGCACAGTTATTTCAGAATAAGCTATTTTGGAATAGTTATTCCAAAATAGCTTATTTCAAAATAGCACGTATACACTGCAGGGAAGCCTCAAAATTAGTCCAAGGCAGGCTTCCCTGATGTAGACATGTTATCTCAATTTTGAACCCCAGGAGGAATAACTTAGAATGGCCCTGGTGAAGGGTTATTTCAAAATAGCAGAAGTGGACCATCTACACATGCCTTATTTCAAAATAGCTATTTTGGAATATGCGTTATTCTTTGTAGAATGAGGCTTACAGAAGTCAGAATAAGCTGTCCGTTATTTCACAATTATTAGATATAGCGGAATTGCTCCAGGAAGCATGCTTATCCTCTTCTCTGGGAGAGGCATAAGGATCTTGCACAAAAAGGGGTTTTTGCGCAAAATGGACACGTCCACACTGCATGTTTTTTTGCAAAAACCTCTTGCGCAAAAATGGATCAGAATAGATTATGCAAACGAACAGGGCTTGACAAATGGCGGCAAAATCTGCTTGCCAGCCCTGTACCGCACATGCACAAGACCCACATTGCACATGCGCGCGCTGCCGATAAACGGGGTGACCGGCAGAAATCTACTCGCCACAGGCAAGTAGATTCAATGATTTGATAAGCCCTGCAAATGCAGCATGAAGCATGACAAAATGCTAATCAGTGCTTCATTTGCATTGCTTCTTCTGACAAAACACGTAGTGTAAACATAGCCTTACAGAAGAATGCACCCATTTTTCAAAAGTAAATAAATATAAGATTTTTGGTTATTATTTCTTCATATTCCCATTTCTTTTTCTTTTCTTCCTTCACTTTTTTCAGTTTGCAAATGGATGGATATATGGTGAAATGTATTCTGAGTCTTCCAAGGTGCAGCCATTAATGAAACAATATAAACTATTATCAGAAAAGGTGAGGAATTTGTTGGTTTTTCATTACCCAGATATTTCTAAATGTTTGTTTCTCTGCCTTTGAAAAGAGGCAGCTGTCTGCTTGTGAAATTTGGCATTTTGGCTTTGTCTTCACTGACACAAAGATATGTTTTGTTTGTGTTGTTTTACCCAGCAAAACAACTAACATGATTGTTACCTTGCTATGTAATCCTAAATGGACACAAGACATTTAGGCTATGTCTATACTCGCGTCTTCTTGCGTGAGTAATATGCAAATGAGGCTAAGCGTTGAATATCGCCGAGCCTCATTTGCATAACTAATGAGCTGCCATTTTTGCGGAAGAGGCTCTTGCGCAAGAGGAAGCTGTCTACACTGCCCCTTCTTGTGCAAGAAAAACCCTCTTGCGCAATGCAGTTACACTTATTACTTGAGAGGAAGAATGGCATTGTGCAAGAGGGTTTTTCTTGCGGAAGAAGAGGCAGTGTAGATAGCTCCCTCTTGTGCAAGAGCCTCTTCCACGAAATGGCGGCTCATTAGTTATGCAAATGAGGCTCGGCGATATTCAACGCTTAGCCTCATTTGCATATTACTCACGCAAGAAGAAGCGAGTATAGACATAGTCATATAGTGTTGACTGCAAGGTAGCTAGGCAAGATCAGCACCAATGTCCCCGGTCATCGCTGATCTCACCAAGTTAACCTTGTGGTGAAACTAAAGTGTCTTGTCTCCACTGTGTTTTTACAATGTGATAGCAAATGAGTGTTAATTATCCCACAATAAAAACATGACTTTTCAGTCAGTGAAGGCATAGCCTTTGGTTTGGTTTGGTGATCGTTTCAAGGAATAGAAAAAGCTCCTCAGTGTACTCAGAATAATTGATAATTCTTGTCACCTTCATATTCGTATCAGAGAAATCTAGCAAAATTCACTATAACTATCACCATCAGCCCAGTGATTCAGGTCAAGCCTCTTCTGCATTTCTCATCTGTGATACTGAAAAGTTTTATTCATCGCATGCCTATATGATTTGGTTTACATGAGTGTCTTGGGAATGAAAAGTTGCCCCTACTATTTCTTTTAATTGGCCTCCTTACCCATACACAGGCTGTTTGCAGTTCATCTCAGTAGATGTAAACGTGCACTACTACACAACAGGGCAGAGTACTAGTAATAACACATCAGATTTTATTCCATTCAGTTACGTAATCATCAAGATAATCACTCCCATGTGTACTTGCCCTAGGAAAAAGAAATTTATCGGTGGCCAATCAAAGAATCTTTGAAAACCATGCTAGCTTGGGGATGGCGGATTGAAAGGACAAGAGAGGGAGATAGTATGGCTCTTTATAATAGGACACGTCGCATATCTCAGACAAGTCAGGTGAGTACTATGTTAGGCTTCAAGCCATTTCATTAAAGACTATGTACTGATATGGTGTGTGTGGGTGTGTGACTGTCTTTTTAGTAGGATGATGAATTTAAGATACAAGTGTCACAATTTGCTTTAGATGTTCTTAAGCTTCCCACATTTGCCTTTTTTAGAGAACTCGAAGTAGAATATTAGAGTACATGAAGGTAGAGTCCACATGTCTATTAATCACTTGTTCCATACATTCAGAACTTTCTGAAAGCTCTTCTTTTCAGCTGTAATATTCCATGTTTATTTAGAGGTAATGAAGGTGGTATATGATTGAGCTTTATTAAATAATGAATGGTACGGAGAAAGTGAATAGGGAAATACTAATTTCTCTTTCACATAATACAAGAACCATGGTCACCTGATTGAAACAAATGTGAGGAAAAACAATGAGGAGTCCTGTGGAACCTTAGAGACGAACAGATTTATTAGGGTGTAAACTTTCATGGGTAAATTCCACTTTGTCAGATGAATTGGAGTGGAAGTTACAGAAGCAGGAGTATATATAATGAAGAAGTTTCTTGTGTTAATGAAGCTAATTAAGTTCTGGTAGAAGTGGGAGAATCACAGCATTTGGTGTGGAGATGTGAATATCTAGGGAAGGGAATGTCCCTTTGTAATGTGTTAATCAGTTGAGATCCTTATTAATTAATTAGCAAATTCAACACTGTCAACTTAGTATTGAATGATGATTTCTTTTTCTAACAACATTGTACTTGTAATAAGCATAGTCGCTGAGCTATTTATTGGTGTCTCACTGTCTGGCCTTATCCCCTTTGTGTCAGTGTGTCCGTGATGATTCACATTCAAGAAAGAATGTCTCTTGTCAATACTAAAATCTAATCAGAATCAGAGATATTGTCCTACAACACAAGCTTGGGAGAAAATATCATGTTCTTTCAGCATATTTTTTAATTCTTCCAGATGTGAAGTCTATTTCTAAAATCAAGCTTGAGTATTCAGCGAGAACACAGTTCTATTTAAACATACTGCTTAAGCATCTAGCCTTTGTCACTGTGAAATTTTAATGTGGATTCAGTGTTTTGTCAGAACAAAATGTTGTAGAAATGACAATATAGCTTCAATACCAAATTCTGCATACAGGCTAGGCTTCTTGACAGCATTGTAGTAGTGCTTGTTACAAGTAGAATAAAGGGTTGTGAGTTTCCCTGCTCACTACAGGTTGCACTTCCTTACTCCAGCATCTTTGAGACCTGATCTGTGCCAAAACAAAGAATTTGCTGAACCACAGGAGGTCAATATTGTCTAGCAACATCACCAACACTTCTACTGCTTACTTGGTCTTAGAAGACATTTAGGAGTAAATTAGAGCTAAATAACAGCACAGAACTGAGAGCCAGAATTGGTGGTGGTAAACAAAATTTATGGGACTGTGCAGAACTTGGCAATGCTCATGATAGCTGGACATCCAGCTAGCTAACATCATGCTGGACATGGGATGTTGCCGGACTAGAGAGGTGTCAGCTGACGGTCAGGGCAGTGTGTGTGTGTGTGTGTTTCCGAGAAAAGGTTTAACGTCTGTGTCTTTACTGCTAGGACTGGGACCCCGACACAGAGGGTGGCCAGCAGGCCAACAGACGCCCCTTTATATAGGAAGAGCTTATTACACCTTAGATTTTAGCTGCTAGAACACAGGGTTCCTTCGCAGCGGGCAGCCTGGGAAAGGCTGAAAGGTGCCCCAACGGATCTGTCACCTGGGAATGACACAGATCCAAACACCCAAGCTCTTCCTATGCCTGTCCCTTTATGACCGGCTGAAGTTCTTTTAAACTGTGCTTGGTTCTATTACAGGAACTGAAGGAGTCAGGTTAAAGCTTAAACAGTTACAGGTTTATTACAAGACTTATAAAAGCATATGGTTACAATGCTTATTGCTCTCTTTCTTAACTGTTAACAAATACAGATTTTAAAAATGGTTACAAAGAAAATAAAGATAGAAAATAGAAATAATGGTACCAAGTGACAGCTTAATCTGTAAAGAGCTCTATGTCTATGTGTACACTTAAGACAAAGGACCACATCCAGGTACAATTTTTACCCCTTTCTGTGCCTCTCGACTCCAGCGTGTCAGGCCAGGGCCGGTCTCTCAATTCCTAGGAAAGACGAATATGAAGTGGCCGTCCCCTTGGAACCTCGGGAGGTCAAACACCTAACCCAACCAGCAGATAGATGGTAGATTGACACTCAGAGTAAATGTGCTGCTGGACCCATCTTTATATCCCTGGAGGCCCGTATCCTCTTTCTTATCTAAGAGGCTAAATTGTACTGGTCCATTTTGTGGCGCAAGTTTCAACTTAATTTACACTTGCAAGAGAGAGAACTAAATTGTGAGTACTAGACATTTTTTTACTGGGCGAGAGATTCCTCCCCCCCGCAGACGGCTGTGTGTTCGTATCAATATGGGTTAAGTCAAGGGCACTCTTTGGCAGCCTCTTGGTCAGCAATTGGTGTATCTCTGTTTACAGCCATTCACGGTCACACAGCCTGGGCCTTCGAGCAAGCAAAAATGGATGTTACAAGGGGGGTTCCTGTCTGGCTACAAGAGGTTTAACCTGTACTGGTCTCTGAGTGCTGGGCTAGTTCTTGGGATATACTGGAGTACCCTAATTTACACTTGTAAATTTACACTGACTAGTAGTGGCTCAGAGGAGCTCATGTGGTTGTCAGGGATTGCCAAAATATAGGACATCCCAACAATGCCCCCCCCCTTAGCAACCCCTCCTACACTAGCCATTGTATTGTGAAAATATTCTCCAGGATTTCCTATTACAATGGGAAGAGAATTTCACAGAGGACAGTGTCTTCTGAGCAGAAGTAATACACAAGGGTACGTCTACACTAGCTCATTACCGTTATACAAGGAGTAACAGTAGTTCGAATTAGGATCTTTAATTTGAACTACCTACTCTGTGCTGCGTGTAGCCACGGGCATGGAGTTCGGACTAAGGGGGATTTAAAAATGGCGGCGCCTGGGAACATGCAAATGAAGCCCGGGATATTTAAATCCCGGGCTTCATTTGCAACTCCGCTTGCCCTCATTACCTTACCTAGCTCAAACTAATGAGCTAGTGTAGACGTACCCCAATAGATTTACTTGCTTTATTTTGATTTTACTGTTTTATGTAAAGATGGGGTTGAACTGCAACATTTTAATCCAGATGTGTGTCTGAACTTCTCCCGGAGTTTAGGATCTATGCCTTTAGTTCAGGTCCATCTCTACTTTTATTCTTAAAAAAAAATCTATAAGAAGCTTGATCATTTAGTTTGGTCATAATTCCTTAGTATTTTCACACTGAATTCAAATGTGAAATCTTTGTTCAGGAACAATTTCCATTTAAGCAAAAGAGATTTTTGTCCAATTGTGTCCTGTCTCTGGAAATAACTGGCAATATTTGCATTGTAACTATCTGATTAATCTGCATTCTTAAACCTGCCTCCGATTCCAGTTAATTTGTTCCATTTTTAGTACTAACTATACTGCAGTCAGGCAAGAAAAGAAAACTCATGTAACTCTCATGTACAATTTTCCGCCAATTGATATGTGAGTGTACCTGTCTATCTCAAGTTTGCTTTTTCTTTAGTGATTTTCCTAGAATATCTAAGTTACATAATTTATTTGCACCTAGGATTTGTAATAATTCATTGTGTTTTTGTACATCCATCATTCAGGTGTCTGTAGATGCTGCCCATGGTTACAGCCCTCGAGCTATTGACATGAGCAACGTTACCCTTTCCAGAGATTTGCATGTAAGTCTTTCTGTAGTTAATACATTCATGTTTTTTTTTATTTAAATTTTTGTTCTTTTGATTGTGGATTTATGTAAAACAAAAGTTCAATGTCTTGTAGTTTTAGTTAATACAAACGGCACTGTTAAGGTTGAAAATCTAACCTTTCCTTAGGGGACAATTCACTCTGGAAGCTGTCTGTGAGCAGAATATCTGATGATTTTAGTGGGAGTTCTGCACACGATGGCTTGCAAGATCAGTCTTTTAATTTTATGTATAGCTCTTCACAAAGTTCATGATATGCTGTTTTTCAAAATAGATGCCTTGCTACTCTTTCTAAAAAAAAAAAAAAAAAGCTAGGTGATGTGCCAGCATTCTGACAAACAGCCTTCTATTTATGAAAGAAAAAGACAAGTTACCTAGGAGCATTATTTTAAATGTTAATCTTTCAACATCAGAGGGGTAGCCGTGTTAGTCTGAGTCTGCAAAAGCGACGAGGAGTCCTGTGGCACCTTATAGACTAACTGAAGTGTAGGAGCATAAGCTTTCGTGGGCAAAGACCCACTTCGTCAGACATGCATCTGACGAAGTGGGTCTTTGCCCACGAAAGCTTATGTTACTACACTTCAGTTAGTCTATAAGGTGCCACAGGACTCCTCGTCAATCTTTCAACAGATTGTTATAATCAGTAGCAATTTACAAAAATACTATTCACTATGGTTGCTTTACAGACCTATACCAATGTTTTTACTACTATTAAGAACTGCCAACTCAGTATTGTTTATCATCTCATAAATCAGGATGGCCAGCATGCATACCATTCCCCTACGAAACAACTTCCTGCAAGTTTCATATCCAGATTAGTCACTAGGCTTGTTGCCTGAAGTCACTGACCAAGGACAAGGTGATTTAGTTCTTTCCCTCGTGAAATAAAATTCAAGACTCCCTTTACCCAGCAGTCTAATCACAAAATGAATATTTTGAAGCACTATAGAAATGGAAAATAGAAGTTGTTACCACATTTAAGCCTCTTGTATCTTTGATACATACATTTCTGCATCCCCTGTTGTAGTTTCCAAGATGTAGCTGGGTCTGGGAGAGGGGCCATGCCTAGCAGTGTGAGAAGGCAAAACCTAGGCTTTTACACTCCCATATAAGTTTCACAATGAGTACTGACGCTGGAGTGTTTATTTGCTTTAAAATATATGATTTATTGCTATTTTTTCTGATTTTTCTCCTTAATTACATGCCATTATTTCTAATTAACATCCCCCTGTGACTTCTCTAAGCATTTTCACTCCTGCTCTGGAGTTTACTGAGTACAGTTCACATGCACAACACTTGTAGATGATCATCACCTTTGGCTGTCATGTGGTCCATCTACACATAATTAGGTTTTTGTTTGTTTTAATTATATCTCTTTGCCTTATTAATGTTTATTAGTATCTGAAGTTCCTGGGTATTTCTGGAATTGTGATGCGTACACTGAATATGTTATCTAGATTTATATAAAGTGGTACAGTTAGGTGGTGTCTCTCTCTCTATTTTTTATTTTGCATGTGCGTTCCTAAAATATCAGTAAGTGAATAAACTATTGGACAGCAGTGTTCTACTATATCTACCTTCAGGCCCGTTACTGATCCCAGCTGTTTTTTTGGCATTTTTACTTTCCAAATTCAATATCCTGGTCACTTTGAATATTTGTGTTTTAGCTTCCCTCCCACTCAATGTCTCAGGCTGAATTTTCCCAGGTTAAATAATATTTTATTGTTTCCAGTCAGTCTCTATTTCTAACCACTGTAGGTTTCTGTGTATCTTTCTCTGGAGTTTACAGTGCTTCCCTATGGTGTGGTAAGAACACTTCATCACAGAAATGAGACTATTCCGGGGTGAGGCTGCTTCCCAATTGGCCACAGGGTTGTTGGCCGCCTCTCTAATCTGTAAATATCCCCTTGTCTCTGGATAACACCAAGTCCGTAAGCTGCCCTGCTCGCAGGGTAGAATGGCCCAATGGACAGAGTCTGTAAGCAGCCCTCGTCACAAGGTAGTATGGCCTACTGGCCAAAGTCAGTAAATAGCCCCTGTCTCAGGGCAGCACAGAGAGTCAGTTAATAGCCCTTCTCACAGGGCAGTATGGCCTACCAGCCAGAGTCTCTGAGCAGCCCTTGTCTCAGGTCTGTGTGGCCTAATAGCCAGAGTCTGTAGGTAGCCCTTTTCTCAGGGCAGTATGGGCTATTAGCCAGAGTCTGTAGGCAGCCTTTGGCTCAGGGCAGTAGGCCTAGTAGCCAAAGTCTGCAAGCCACCCTTGTCTCTGCAAGCCACCCTTTTCTCAGGGCTGTGTGGCCTAATAGCCAGTCTGTAGGCCGTCTTTGGCTCAGGGCAGTAGGGCCTAATAGCCAGTGTCAGTAGGATTGGTGGCTAGCCCCACCCTGCTCCACTGATCCCAACCCAAGGTCCTGTGAGTGGTAGATCCGTCTACAACTCTCTTGGTGGGGAATCCAGCTGAAACACGCCGAGTGTACCTGGATGGGAGTGGCCGCTCCTGCACCCTTCCTACTGGAGCTGCTGGGACGTCATCCCACGTAGCAACTGGATCTCCAGGCTCCCTAGCAGTGGCTTTTCCCTGGGGCTCCTCTGGGCCTGAGTAGCAGCATTCTCCTGGAACTTTGGTTCCCACTGTCTGGATCACTGGCCATTGCAGCTCTAGCTGGAGGTCCTTCCCCTTCACTGGCCAGCCTGGACTTAGCTGCTCTCTTGTCCTTTATGCTACCCCAGCACTTGGAGCAGACCCAGTCTGGCTGAAGGGGGAGTGGGACTTCCTCCAGCCTCAGGATTTTCACTCCTCCTGTTCTAATGCAGGGTATGCACACCCGTCATATCCCCAATTCAGTATTTTTGCTATGTTTTAACTGGCAAGCCCTTCAACTTCTAAATATTCACTAAAGAATTTGAATACAATTGAGTTACACTAGTTCCTGCAGCATTCCACTGGGTTTTTACCCTAAAGGAAAGCACCATCATAATTATAACTATGTTGAGCATTTACACAGGACTTTGCATAGGCAAAAAGTCATAGAAACATTAGGTAATCCTCACAATATTCCTGGCATGTAGATTAGCATTCATCCAGTATTACCAATTGTTAGAAGCCTTCCGCAATCAATAACATCACTAGAACTAAATAGATGTAACTAACATTTTATTTGCATCATTATATGAGTTAAATATTTTTATAGTAATTTTCAGGCCAATGAACAATGCATTTCTGAGAGATAAGGTTAAATGTGAGGTGTGATTAATTTTAGGCATAAATACATCTTAAATAAGAGATTGGTCTGCATGCTCCAACTTTATCTTAAGTCGGTAGCTTTAGGAAAGGCAGTTGTTTTGACTGTAGTAAAAAGGTGGTGTTTGGATTTTTTTTAATCAAATTAAATATGTGTAAAATATTATTATTATTTTTTTTTGTCCTGTGAAGGTTCAGCAATGTACCCAGCAAGCCATTTTTTCCTATACAGGCAGTCCCTGGGTTACGTACAAGATAGGGACTATAGGTTTGTTCTTAAGTTGAATTTGTATCTAAGTCGGAACTGGCTCCAGATTCAGCTGCTGCTGAAACTGATCGGCGGCTGACTGCAGGAAGCCCTAGGCAGAGTTGCTCTGCCCACGGCTTCCTGGAATCAGCAGCTGATCAGTTTCAACAGCGGCTGAATCTGGACTCTTGGGACAGAACAGCTGGGGCACTGCCGGGTAGGTCCCTGCAGGACCAACCCGGCAGCTCCCCAGCTGCTCTACCCCAGGCATCCCGCAACAAAAGCCTGGTACTCCCAGCAGACCAGGGAGACCCGAGCAAAGCCGTGGAGGCGCAGAGGTCCCGCAGCCTCTGCGGCTTTGCTCCTGTCTCCCTGCTGTGCTGGGGCGGGGAGTCAATATGAAAGCTTGTAGGCTACAGAGCAGGAAGTGGTAAACAATCTCACTCCCTACTGGGTGGACTGGCAAGGTGTACCAGATGCTGGCAGACAAGTCGTTTTCTCTGTTCATAGTCTGTCACCTCTAGACATGTAGAAGCAGTTAACCCCATCCCATATTTATCAAGTTATGCATATGCCTTGTAATGGTCACATGCATAGTATGAAAGCTTGTAGGCTACAGAGCAGGAAGTGGTAAACAATCTCACTCCCTACTGGGTGGACTGGCAAGGTGTACCAGATGCTGGCAGACAAGTCGTTTTCTCTGTTCATAGTCTGTCACCTCTAGACATGTAGAAGCAGTTAACCCCATCCCATATTTATCAAGTTATGCATATGCCTTGTAATGGTCACATGCATAGCCT